AGTTTTGCTAAATTTTAACAACTAACAATTGAAATCTTGAGTAAATTGTCAGGGCAAGAAACGTGAAATAGGTGCAACATATTTCTTCATCTTCATCCTTCAAACAACACACAAATCCTCAAATATACACAACCATTTTTGCTGTGATTGGTGTCTTGTTCAAGGGTGATAAGGTTCGAACGCGTTGATTGAAGATCCGGTTCGAGTGGAAATTGGGGCAGGTGTTTCTTGCAGAAAACCTTGAGGGTTTTACCTAAGGCTGGAAATGAGTCGAGTCGAGTCGAACTCACCTCAGCTCGGCTCGACTCGTTAAGAATTGTTCGAATTCGAGTTCGAGTTCGAGTTAGACACGAACTTTTTTTTAAGCTCAAACTCGACTCGTTATAAGTTCACGAACAGTTCGGTTCGACTCGTTAGGTTCATCTCATTAGGTTCAGCTCACATGGTTCACGAACTTAAAAACTATTTTTTTAAATATATATATTTTTTAGTATATTTGACATTTTAAATAAATATATATATTTTAAATAAAATATTAAAATAAAATAAAATTTATCATATTGAAATTTAACTTTAACTTCGAAATCTACTAATTCAAAACCTACACAACTTTCAAGAGATACATTTGAGAGTCTAATTCAAAAACTACTAAATTGAAGATTAAATTTGTCTAAGATTTGAAGTAAATATTTAAACCTAATCTTAAAGACAGTATAATTCTTTTCATATGTAATCGAGTTAACTCATGAACCTAACGAGTCGAACTATGTATAGTTCAAGTTCAGCTCATTTAGTTAACGAACTTAATTTTTCGCTCATACTCAACTCATTTGGTTCATGAACCTAGTTCAACGATTTAATTGTCGAGTCGAATTCCGAACTATCTTCGAGTTGGTTTGGTTCATTGCCAGCCCTACCCATCAAGACTAGAAGGTTTTGAGGGGTTTTGCTACGGAATAGTTCATTCAACATTCAAGCAAGTGCGAAGGTAATTGATCAACGGAAGGTTCATCAGTTTAGTAGCTAGGGCGTTGAAGTGTTGAAGACTTTCTGGGTTTTGATTTGTTGGTGTCTAAGATCAGCCGAGCCGAAGGTTTGAACAACGGAAGGTTTTTCATTAAGGTGGCTGGAATCGGAGATCATTCACAACAAATTTAAGGGCTTGATTCATCTTGAATCAAGGTGCAAGAAGTGATAGCAAGCATCAACATCATTTGAGATTGTTTGTATCATTGTCTATCAACTCTTGTGTAAACTGTTCATTCCAACAGGTGATATATATTCAATATATCTCAATTCTAATTTTAGAATTGAGGGCAGACGTACCCCGAAGCGAGGACGACGGGGGAACTGCCTCATCAAATCGTGTGTTCTTTAGTTTCTGTCATTTTCAATTCAGCTTATAAAATAAGTCATTCTAGCTTAAGTGATTATTGTCAAACTGTGATACAAATTGAGTAAGGTGTTGAAACTCTGTTTTTTAACTACTAAGTACAATAAAGTATTGTACTAGGGCATTTCCAATCTCTTACTCAACATAAATATCCTTTGAGATATTTGTGCACACAAACTGTTCGACAAAAGTCCTGAACTAAAATTGTCTTATTTTGCTACTAGTTTCTGTGTGTCTTGTTTTTCATTGGAACTAGGTAACCTTGCAAATTGAAGTAAATAATTGATAAGCATAGTTTGTGTTGTGATTTTATTTTTCCGAATTGTCATAAATCCATAGGCTTACGTATATCCGGTTTTCCAATAACCGTTCGTTTGACTACAATTTTCCTCGGCCGCTTCCGCACTTAAAAACATTTTTAAAACCAATTTCAAATTGGTAGCGCCGACTCAAATTTTAATTGGGGATCTATTCAACCCCCCCTTCTAGATCCGTGCCATAGTCTAACAAAACGCCTTGCCATAAGAACTTGCCTGACCTTGAGAACCCCTGTTCGAGCCCAGATGGGGGCGTTTTTGCTCCTTTTCTTTTATTTTTCACGTTTTAATATTTCTCCTTTTCTTTTCCTCTCTTTTCACACGTGCAAGGTGGCGGGGTGGTTTTATTTTCAGCTTGCAACCCCAAGGTCTTAGGTTCAAGCCTTGGGGAGGCACTTTCCTTATTTTTAGCATTTGTTTTCTTATTTCTTTTTATTTCATTTTATTCTTTTCTTGTTTTTATTTTTAATTAGTTTTAAATATTATAAAATCCAAAAAATCTTGTTTTATTATTTTAATGTGTTATTTTTATTTTCCATCCTTTTATTTTATTTTGTTTTATTTTTCCCCCTTTATTTTATTTTCCATTTTTATTTTATTATTTTTTATTTTGAATCTAGAAATTTCTTTTCTTTCTCATTTCACTTGTGAGTGAATTAATTTAGTGTTTACTTGGCTTTTGGCCATGATCCCCCTAGGATTCCTAGTCCCTCCGTTTAGGATGGGAGTAGGAGAGACATTAGGTGTTCAATCCTATGCATGACAACTTTAGGGTAGTTCTTCCCTTTCACCTCAACTTTAGGAGCATTGTGCATGATAACTTTAGGGTCCAGTTTCTCCTTAGTTTGAGTCTTTCTCTTCTCATCTCCTAAACAGTTCAAAACACTTAATAAAGGATAATTTGTGTCGTACGCTACGAGCCTTAAGTATTCGAGTAATGATGGTTGGGGGGCCTCCTCTCAACTGTCTAGAGTGTTTAGCGTATGCCCTTTGGGCGATATGCGACACATTCGCTCTCGAGTCATATTCTTTAGTGCGACATAAGTTTCAAATCATAACTCAATTCACTTCTTGTCTTAAAAAACATAAAAACAAAAACATAAAATCTTTTTATCCTTCGGGATCTTAATTGGAAAACCATTTTCAGAAAGGGTTTTGTTAAGCTTTGGTTCTACCGCAAACAGGCGTCGTCCCTAACTGCTGGAACCACTGTTTAACCCTTCTCAGTTTAAAACACTTGAACCAATCTGTGGTCGTGCCAGCCCGAACTACGTTTGCTCTGATTTCTCGTACCAGACAAGGATACGTAGGCACAAGACGACGATGTCTTGGCGAGCAACCTTCCCCCACCTTTCACCCGTAGTTTTCCGAACTACGTTGACTCTGATTTCTCGTACCAGACGGGAATACGTAGGCATAGAGCGGCGATGCTCTATCGAGTCACTTTTCTTCTCTTTTGCCCCCGTGAGCCTTTAACATAGATAGATTTACACCCTTATAGACTAGACAACAAGCGTGGATCCCGTCGAGTACGACGGACGTGAGGGGTGCTAATACCTTCCCCTTGCGTAACCGACTCCCGAGCCTGAGATTTGGTTGCGATGACCTGTCTTATTCCCTTTTCGTAGGTTTTCTTCGATCGTTTCCTTTCCCTCTCTTTGGGATAAATAACGAACGGTGGTGACTCTTCTGTCATGGTTGACCCCTCTTCGCAGCGATGCGACAAATGACCTCAACTGTAAATATCACAAATTATCTCACAATTTTCAAAAACAAACTAGAGTGAAATATTGATACAAAAGTCAAAAAGGAAATAACAAACACAAATGAAGTTCCACACAATAAAGACAGAATTAATAAACTAAAAGTAGTGAACAGTTAAGTCAATTGTAACATTCTTCAAAATAGTTTAAGAATAAAATGGATTAGGTTGTAAAATTTCAAATTACCTCACAATTTCTCGAGAAAAACCTCCTTGTAACTGTAAAGACTATGACCAATCAAATCCATCAACCGACTTACTTGGAAAAAACAACAAACTATAATTGAATTTCAAAGAAAAACTCATTAACCCTTTACAGATTAACCCTTTCATTTGTAGAAATTTCAAACAATCCACACAAAAAAACTAAACTTTAACCCGCACTAACAAAATAGGGTTTGAAGTACTTAGCCTTCCAACTCTTTTGCTTCTGTTAATCCAACACTATCTTGTTTAGGAGAATTTTCTGCAGCATTGGGACGAACCTCTCTTTCAACACCTAGGTCAGTATCCTTTGGAACAACATCTGAAGAGAACGTGTGCGGAAATAAAACCAAAAACTTTAATTGTTTCCTTTTTGGAAACTACTAAAGTGAAATGTCAATCGTAAAATAAGTAATTACCTACTGAAATACCGATCCAACTTCTAATTTAGATTCTCTAAACGAAAAGCATAAAGCAAGAATCAACCACAAATTAAACAACATAAGTAAATCGTTCGGACGTGGGTCGCGATTCCAACGATGACAAACCAATTTCATTCCTCTTCTTCTTCCGTTTCTGAATTTGCAATTTGTTTGGTTATTAATTGTTTGAATGTTTTCAGGAACAAGATATTTTGAAGAGGTTGAAGGTGATTTGTGGAAGGTGGCTTGAAATTTGTTTATGTGTGCTTAGAATGTTGGCTTTGTGTAGAGAAATATTGAATTCAAGATTTGAAGAAAATGAAAAATTCGTAAGAGGGAAAGAGAGAAGAAGGTGGCTGCTAGGGTTTTGGAGAAAGGAAGAGAGAAATATAGGGATTCTTAAGTTAATAGAGAAGGGTAATAAAGTCACATAGTTAATAGTTCCAAAAAATTAAATCCACGTAGATAAAAAAAATTCATCTAGATGTAGATAAAAGTTAACAGTTTTTTATAAAATTTAACAGAGATGACTAATTAGATTAACAAAATTATTTTAAAGAATTAACATGTAACATTTTTTAAATATAAGACTAAAATAAAACATTAAATTAATTTAAGTGACTTAAAGAACAATTAAACCATATTAATCTATATGAAAAATCCGAATGCTCATTTTAGCGAGTTCTCCCACTCCCAGCTCCATCCATAGAGTTGGTTCAACTCATCAATATAAAGTTGGTCTGCCTGTGCCTCAACATTTAAAACTTCACAATAAAGCCAACTTTTCTTTTAACAAAGATAAATCCAATTGTTTTATACCAAAAAAAGAAAAAAAAAAAGATAAATCCAGTTATTAGAACAAAAACAATACAAAAATGATAGACAAACATTATCCACTTGTTTTATTCATGTTTCTTAACTAGAAAGATTTTCATAGACTTAGCCAACTCAGGGTAGTCTTTAAGTAGTTTTCGATCTGAAAGGATCTCATCCTCTTCCTGTGGAGTCCATAACACCTCACCAGCCTGTAAGAAATTCAAGAATATAGTAACACTTTATTAATTGAAGAAATGACACTAATAGTATATATTGGATGAATGTTTCTTTTAATTAACTTACAAATAAATATTTGCTTGAGATAAGGGATTTAAGCTTTTGTAAAACATTCTTTAAATCTTCAGCTCCATTGATGTTAGGTAACTTATGTGCTCCTTTAGCAGCTACCAATACTGTTACCTAACATAAGGCGTGTCATAAATATAAGGTGAAATATATCAAAATAAACACAAAAGATAATCATGTAAGTTTTGTGGATATCTCAAGGAATCTTCCACCTTGAAGAAAAAGCTATTTTAAAAGTATAAGTCAACATCAAGTTCCTAATCCAACTAAAATGTGAAATACAAGTTGACATAAATGTGACCAAATGAAGCAATATTGAACCATATGCTTTCACATGTAGACATCTAACATGTCCCTCTACAATGACCATTCCCTCTATAGGGATGCTTTAGAGAATGAATTACGTGCTCCATGTGCAATTGAGGATTATAGGGAAGATAAGAAGCATGTGGAAGATATGAAGAACTGTAGAAGTACTATACAAGTAAAAGATATTTTAGGATCTTGGTATCGGATTTACAATAAATTCAGCAAAATCACATTTGATTTTGTGAAACTCTAGAGTGTATATTTTTTTGCAAAATTTTGTAATTTTGTAATTTTCACTGTCAATTGAAACATGTGCCCTGTGTAATAGTCTTTAAATATGTTATAGTTTACTAATAAGTAATAAGTAGTGAGTCCTCTTTGAGAGTGTGTAATATGGAAGGTGAGCAACACGGACTATTGAACAGAGATCAAAATTTGACACGGTTAAAACATAGCTAAATAAAAATTCATAAAATATTTATTACGGTTAAACTCTGACAAAATAAAGGATTTCCAAAAACTTAAAACAACCTTAAAATTCTAAAATTTCAGCGGATAATTAGCTTTAGGTGATATAATTTAAGAGATAATATAGTAAATTAGACCGTACTATTTGAACATAGGTAAAATAGTAAACTTGGCGGAAAGAGACTTGATTTTCTTTATTTTTAAAGTTGATCCAGCTTATTCCATCTACGATTTTAGAAAGGTTATGAATTGTGATTGGGCCTAACTCATATCTAAAAAACTGGCGTTCATGGTATCAAAGTATGATTTAAGATCAGATTGATCATCCGCTATCATGTTTTTGCTATCGGGGTCATCCACTATTTGTTTTCACGCTCCAGATGTCCAGTCTTGGGCATGACATGAGAGGGTGTCACATCGGATAATAGATGACCTGAACATGTACTTATAAGTGGGGAAAATTCTCGTCCTACAAACTGGTTTTGTTAAATTGAGTTAGTAAACAATCACTAAAGTTTTTGCGGATAAGTTCAGATTGGGAATTAACAGTGTTGTTAGCCCTTGTCAAAGTAGTTTTGTTTCATAGAGCCATGCTACCGATAACATAATTGTTGCTCAAAATGTTCTACATCCTGTGCATAAAATTTAGGTAGCGAGGGATGGATGATTATTGAATGACTTTGAGAAAGCTTATGATTGGCTGAAGTGGAGCTTTGTCAAAGAAATCCAGCAAGATATTGAGTATCCTCAGAAGTTAGAGGAGGTCTTAGTCGTTAGTTGCATTTCCGCTCCTACTCTGTGTCTTCTTTAGAATGGAGAGGCCCTCTAAGAGTGCACTCCATCCATCCAGAGAGATCAGCCAAGCCAAGGAGACCCAACTTCAGCTTATATATTTGTTGTTTGTTTGGGGAAGCTTTTCCAGACAATTAACTTGATTATAGAGTAAATTATACAAACCTATCTAAATTGCAAGAGCTGCTCCAAAGTTGTCGTGTCTTGCTTTTGCCAATGATTAACTCCTTTTTGCTAAGGCAAATATGGAGCAAATTCATCTTACTAACCATAGTTCAGATTTGTTTTGCAGATGCTCAGTTAAAAAGTCAGCAAACACAAAACTAGAGTTTGCTTCTCTAAGAGTGTTCTGAGGCATTTAAGGAGGCAAATTTGTGACGAGGTTGGATATCAGAGTACCGGAGGGAGTTGCTTTATTCCATACATGGACGTCTACATATGTCCCTTCGCAAATTTGTGACGAAATTGACAAGAGGTGTAGAGCTTTTGTGTGGGGGTGATAATATGCTTCTATTGGCTAGGGGTGAAGTGTGTACTCCTATGAAGACTTGGCTGAGGCATCAGTAAAAACTGGGGTATGGTTCAGGACAATTTTTGTTGGAGAGTTAGTAAGTTAATACGGGGAACTCTCAAATAAGTCAGTATATTCTTCCATTCAAAATTGTACTGTCCAGCCCCATATGAGTCTCCCATTGTGTGGTCTTGGAAGGATCTTACCGAATTTGTTGTTTTCTTTGGAAGTAAGCTCGAGAAATCCCACTAACTAATCCTACCTGAGTATTGTGCGAAATTTAGCAGTTGTCAATACCTATTCAGTTTGTAATGCAGGTTCATAAACGGTACTCAGTGCATTCAGAGACTATTCTGCTTTACTGTGGATATGGTATGCACTAAAATGTGCTCAGATCAAGGATTTGTATCTGCCTAACTAGCAAGACTGGTTGGCTGTAAATCTGCTGCAAACACAGTAGAATTGGCGATTCAGAATAGCTCGAGTGTCTCTGGCAGGTCAGAAATGGGGTTATTTTTAACAACTCTCCTCAAAATAGCACAGCCATTCTGTACCAGGTTAAAACACGGGGAAGTGAGCTGAAAAATTTGCAAATTCTGCCTCATGTTTATACTCAGAAGACTACTAAAGTGAACAGATTGAATAACATTTCTTGGATGGATGGGTGAAAGTGAATTGTGATAGGGTTGTGACTGATAGTGGGCTTATCGGTGCCTGTGAAGGAGCAATTCAAAATTCTGACAGTGAACTTGTGGCAGGCTATGATGAGAGGTTGGGAACCTGTACAATTACCTCAGACCAATCCAAAGAGGTTAGCATGTCATCGAGAGGCTTTCACGCATGTTTGGATTGAGTCTGACTCTTCGGTGGCTATCAATCTGATTAAAGATGGCTGCCTGGTTAGTCACCATTGCTACAACATTGTTGCTGACATTTGAAGTAGTGAACGACACACTGGTGAGGTTATTTTCTCCCACATTAATAGGGAGGCAACTCAAGTTGCTAATGCGTTTGTAAAGCATGGTCTGGCTCTTAATGGAGTGGCTTTGATCTTTAATTCACCGCAAATTTCATTTACTTTACTATGTTAGTAAATAACTTTGAGATTGTGTTCCCTAGAGATTTTGTTTTTTTCTGCTTTGTTTCCATTTTGGGGTTAGTCCCCTTTTGTTTATCGGAGGAAAAAAAAGGTACGGCAGCTTCTCTAAAATGCAGTTGGCCGGACGTCGTGATCAAATATTATGCAGTGTCTGTATTTTTTATATTTTTTACTTTGGAACGAGTTACTGTTCTAACAGTCATTCATACACAAAAGTCTCAGTCTCTTAACTTTTACTTCTTGGTGATCTTTCTAAGACTGCATCTTGTTAAATCTAAACTATCATATAGTTAGTTTTTATTTTGCTCAATCTCTTTGATTTCTTGTGAAAGAAGAGTAAGGTATATCTTCTATGTATGTAAGGCCTAGTATCCATAGGATTGGATTTTGGGAAGGGGTTATCACCATTGTAACAATCCATAAAATCTTGCTATTATAGTGCAAAATCTCGTACGAAGCTTGAGAACTAGATGTAGGCCACATGTGGTTTAATGGCAGAACCAATATAAGCTCACGGATTTGACCTCCCCATCCCTTTTCATTTAAATTTCTATATATTCAATTGTTGTTGTTAGTTTTATGGTTACTATTGTACTTGTGTATCGGTAAATTGGTGTATTCTTTTTTTGTTTAGGGTCATTTACTGATTACAATTAAGATAAATATTGCGATCATGTTTTTTAAAACTTAGATGAATGCCAACGCAAAAATTTAAATCAAACTATGAAATTCATAGATAAGTAGATCACACCATACCACTGTGTACTTGTTGTTCAGCCCACTGAGAAGTTTCTCCTTTTCAAATTTCTCTGTTTTGTCAGATTCCAACTGCAGAAAACTATTAGTTTGTCAATGTGAATATTTTAAAAACAAATTCCTGTGAAATCTCAATCACTCACTTATTTTTACCGGATGATGTCAAAGTCATTAAAAGGAAACTGAAGGGTGAGAATTTCCACCAGATAGTAAAAATCTCACGAGAGAAGATATGTTCCCCCACATATTCCAAGAAATGAAGCACGTTAAATAAAATCTCTTTAATAATTATATCATACCGTGAAGTATTCATCATAACTATGGCTTCTTCTAATTGTCTTATTGTTGTTGTTCAAGTTAACTAATGTCTCTTCATCAAACTTTGCCCTTTCTTCATTTGATAGTTGGTTGTAGTATTTTTCTCCGTCCTCCTTGCCCCGTTTATGATCCACCTGACAAAGGTTGTTCATCAAGGTAACACCTTTCACACATATAGGCTATAACTGATACTTCACTTTAACTTAATTAGGAGAAGGAATGAACTTACAGATGAATATCCTGCAGCACAGTAACCATGATGTTGATCCAAAGTTTGTATTGTATCTGATACAAAAGGACACACAATAAGAAGTCTATCAACTGCACAAAACCTTGTAGAATAGAAAGGCCCGATCTTGGCGAAATTGTAGACATATATATTATTGTTTGGCTATTTGATATCAAATAGTAACAATAATTACTGATTTTTAGATCATATCTAACATGCCCTTACAAAACTGGTTTGTTAGGTGAGAGCCGAGGGGTGTTACTATTTATAAGTTTAATACGATCAATGTATTCAATGTGAAATCCGAACTTTTTCCCAATACACCTCTTCATATCTAACACTGTTGGGCTAGGTGCATGGTTTGATGGATAGACCATGATACAATATTTTTGGTTTGAGCTAAGGATTACAAGATTGGAGGACCTGGGTTCAAACCTGGTGATTGATAAAATACCAACCTAACAACTAATTACTAACAATGACCGTTTCAAGAAAAAGAAAAATGTAGGACTTAGGTTTTTCTCCATAACAACTACCATTTTCACAAAGTTCAACAAACCATACAAGATTAGAACACGAGAATATTATAACTTATGTTTGTAAAAATACATAATTTCGTGGACTAAATCACAAAAATTAAAAATGTTTGTAGTAGTATTCAATTTACGTATGAATTACAATTGGTATTGTTTTACAAGCTTATCCTTTGAGAGATATAACTAACCTACCTATTCGTATCAAAGTATTTATGGTTGATTATAGAAAGAGATGTAAAATAATTTGAACAATGTTAGTGTACTGAGTCGTCTGTAAGGCCCACGAAGAAGGCCCACTAACAAGCATTGAAGAGAAAGGCGCACGGGGTAGGCGGATCCTCATCTCTGCCAAGGACACACGAACACACCCTACATCACATCTCTCAGGCAACGAATCACACGACGGTTTAAACCGCTTATACTATATAAAGACAAGATCACACCATTTCAGGTATTCAATTCATTACCACTTTCATACTACTTTTCACTCATTAATTGACTTATGCATTTGAGTATTAACCTTGCAGGTCTACCCCGCTCCACCGCACCAAGATTACATTTCAGTACTTCAATACACATTTCTTGTTCCTTAAGTAAGGAAATTTGAATGGTCTTATAAAATAGACAGCGAAAATAGTAGAAGCGAATCACCTTTCAACAAACAGCTCACACCTTCCCTAGATGATGTATCAGCAGCTTGTGCAATCCTAGTAAGATCCCTTTGTACAGTGCATCCCGTCTCACCCGACATTCCAACCTTAAACAACAAACACAAAAACATTAACAACATATGCAACTAAACCTACTACAAGTAATACTTGAAGAATGAACATAACAATAGATGTTTATGTTAACAAACCTGAAGCTTGAACACACTAACTGCATTCCCATCGCCATCTTTATTGCAAAATCCAACCAAAAACACACCGAATGCGAATATCACGAAGAACAGCAAGGGTCCTCTTCCACCACTTGCAACCTCATCATCGGCATCATGAGAAGGGACATAATGCCTATGACGTTGTTCCTTTGCGTATTCAGATTCCGATTCAGTTGTGAATGATTCTGAGGAGGAAGAATCTGAATCGAAGAAACTTCCTCCCATGACACCGCCTGAGGAGGCGGAAACTAGGGTAAGGTTCCATGTGATTGCCGAAAACACAATCAGTGACAAAAGAATAACGCTAACATGGTTTCTTAAGAAAATCATTTGTGGTTTCAATATCATGAAAGGAGAATCAAATTGAGTCTTGTGTTTTCTTTAACTCAATTGAATTGTTGTAGAAGAAATGGTTTGTTTCAGCAAAAGATTATATGCTTTGGAAAGGAATAGAGGAACTGAATTAGACGGAAATAGAGGATCTCTAACTTTTTCTCTTTTTTAATTAACTGCGCGGAAATTCGTTACAATTTTATTATTATTTACCGATTAAAAAGTTTTGAGATTTTTAGCACAATACTTATGATTACAAACACTAATCTTTGTTGTTAAAAGTTTGATCTCTAATTTCAATTGTACATGCAAACCACAAATCTCTTCCTCTTCTTTTACGGTAACAATGAAGTTCCCACATATAGAATATTTTACATCTCTCTCCTCTCTCAAGAAAACCAAAAAGGCTAGTTTAGATAATGTTACTTTAGTTTATCATTAATTAAAAGGAACTTCAATTCATTTGTAGAGAGTTTGAAGAGTGTTGAGCTTATTGTTATTCAAATTAAGTTGGTAGGATATTAAAAGTTTGTACCCATAAATCTCATCATTTGAAATTTAATGTGAAAAAATGGTTTTAACTGGATTTGAATTTTCCTCTATTACAAAATAGGGGGCTAAGTTGGGTAATGTATTTGTATTAAAAATTGATTTGCTGCATGGAGGGGGCAGGATTACTCAAACATGTTTGAGACGGTTTGGTATTTAATTCTTCATCATTACTGGAGATCGAAGCGGAGATCGGGGTTGAGGTACGAAGACATAAAAATTATCTCTGCTACGCCATGTTATCTTGTCTAAAATTAAAATTATAATTGGTTAGCCAACTTACACAACGATTCTCATCGCGTCAAGTATGATTGATTTTGATATATGAATCATTTTTAGTCATTTTTTTATTCTACGAACTAAAAATTGGAAAATTGTAATCATCCAAATTACCTTAACTCATCATGTCTTTTAGTGTCACTTTTGACCACAAAATTTGTAAATCTCTCCTACCAAACTTGCCCTAGCTCATTTAATATTTCACACATATCAACATATCAACAACGAAAGCATCAGAAAAACCAATTTTTGTGTGTATATCCTTTTGCATAATTCTCTTAAGAATTTCTGAATAAACTTCTACCACTAACAATGGAAGTAGATGTTTTATAAGTACCAACACAATTGAGGTCAATCCAATTATTAATTGGGTGGTACCAACAGACATATTTGATCTTCAACATCGACATCATAAATTTTGTATATATGGTACTCATTTTTCTGTCTCTCTTATTAGATGCGTGATTGTTTCAGTTGGTTTGTTAGGATGCTGAAAGCCCTCCTTAAAATTGTTTTTGTTTCTAAAATTCCACAAGTACCTACAAGAAATCACAAAGATGGACTCCAATGCACTCCGTAAAATTTCACATTATCTTTTATGAGAATGTAAGAGGTTTACCTCTACAAGAAAAAGAATAAAACTAAGTCATTTTTTCAAAGGAACAAGTTGAATTCATACATGTGTTACATAATGACAATCCTAGAACACATGGAAAAAATTTCTTTAGTATTCGTTCTTCTGATGATAATACACTTGGTAAGAAGAAGAACGTTGATGAGATCAAGCAATATCTTGATTGTAGATACATTTCTCCAAGTGAGGCATGTTGGGAGGATTTTCTCTTATTCTATACATGGTAGGAAACCAATCGTGGAAATACTACTTTTTCACATGGAAGGTGAGAATTCTGTTTACTACAAAGACTTTGAGCAAATTGGTAATGTTTTACTCAAACCGAGTGTTACAGAATCTATGTTTACTGCATGGTTTGAGGCAAACAAAAAATATGATGAGGCTAAGTTGTTGACATATAGTGATCTTGTGACAAAATTTGTTTACCAAAAGAAAACTAGGACTTGGTAGCCTAGAAAAATAGGGTATACAATTTTTCGTCTTATTTGGGTTCCTCAAAGCACAGGTGAATTACTTTATTTACGGATGATGCTTACTGTCAAGAAAGAACCAATAAGTTATGAAGACATTAAAAAGGTCAATGGTTTCCAACATAAATCTTTTAGAGAAACATGTTTGCTATGAGATTTCTACAAGATGATAGAGAATTTATTGAGACTTTAAAGGAGGTGCATGTATGGGGTTCTGGTGTTTATTTATGGAAGTTATTTGTTATTATGTTGCTATCATCATCAATGAGTAGACCTGAGCATGTTTGGAGTAAAACATGACACTACTTAGTTGATGGAATTCTTTATGAAAAACGTGTTATAACAAGAAATCCAGGTACACTCTATATGCATTTACTTTAACTGTTATTATTCACAATTTAGTTGTTTTATTTACGATGTTTTATTTTATCTATGTTAGGATTAACACTTACAGATGAAGAATTAAAACAGCTTACCTTGATTGCAATAGAAACACAGTTACAAAAGGACAATAAAAGTATAAAGAATTTCAAGTCAATGTCATATCCAAATGACTTTGTACTTTCTTTTGTTGGAAATTGACTAATTTATGAAGATAGGCAATATGATTCAATTGCTCAAAAAAATCTTTCTGATACTTTGTCATCATCTCTTACAGATAAAGTGGTCTTCCTAAACTGTTTATTTAAGAAATTAATTTCATGTTTATAATTATTATATTGATAAATACAAGACATATTGTTTATAACTTATATTGTTTATAACATATTCCTTTAATGCCATAAATCTTAGTCAATACTTTATAATGCTTTAATATACTGGATTTTAGGTCATATATGTTAATTTCAAAGTGGCATGTCTAAACATATTGTCACATGATTTATTTTTGTAGGTGAGCAGAAAGACATTTACTCTGATGTCATGGATGTCGTAGATAGACAAAATGGTAGTGTTTTTTTTGTATGGCTATGGTGGAACATGTAAAACATTTATGTGGAACGCTTTAGCCGCCGCTCTTCGTTCTAAATATAAAATTGTCTTGCCGGTTGCATCAAGTGGGAGTGCAAGTTTGTTGTTACCAGGTGGAAGAACAACTCATTCTAGGTTTAAGATGCATGTCCCTATTTTGCGTTCTTCAATTAGCAACATTGACAAAAACGATGAACTTGCCGAACTTTTAAAATTGACAGATCTTATTATATGGGATGAGGCTCCAATGGCTAACAAATTTTTCTTTGAGGCTCTTGATAAATCTTTGAAAGACATTATAAGTGAAATTCCACAAGCTGCAAATAAATTATTTGGAGGCAAAGTAGTTATTTTTTTGGTGATTTTAGACAAGTTCTTCCCGTTGTACCAAGAGGTGGTATATATGAGATTATTCATTTAACTATCAATGCTTATTATATTTGGGATCAATGTAAAGTTCTTAGGCTTACAAAAAACATGTGCCTACAAAGTGGGACAACTTCACAAAACAAAGAGGAAGTTCAAATATTTTCAGAGTGGATTCTAGAGATTGAAGATGGTACCATGAGTGAGCCTAATGATGGTTATGTTGAAATTTCTATTCCTGAAGAGTTTCCAATTTCAAAATTTTCACATCCTATTGAGGATATTGTTGATAGTACCTATCCCAATCTCATTCATAACTACCATGATCCCAACTTTATGCAAAATCGTGCAATCTTGCTTAAACGATTAAAGTTGTCGATGAGATTAATTAATACATCACAGATCTTCTTCCAAGTACTATACATGTTGTGAAATTGTTTTAATGCTAATATTATATTTTACTTCATATTTATATTGTTTTGTCATTGTTATGTTTTTTTTAATTTTAGGAGAAGAAAATGAATACTTTAGTAGTGATTCAATTGATAGATCAACAACAACTAACTTTGATGCATTTGAGCATTTGACTCCTGGATTTCTGAATGCTCTTAAAATGTCTGGATTGCCTAATCATTCAATCAAGTTGGAGATTGGTGCCACTATTATGTTGATGCAAAACTTAGATCAGCCTGAAGGCTTATGCAATGGTACAAAGCTCACTGTTGCAAGGTTTGCTAATCATGTTATTGAAGCTAAGATCATTTCAAAAAAGAATGTATGTAAAATCATTTATATTCCAAGAATGTCTTTGTTCCCTCTCAATCACCATGACTATTAAGGGCGGGGATAGACCAGGCTAACTAACAGGGGCCTTTGGCCTAGCCTACATAGGCCCAGACCAGGCCAGACTTTTTCTTAAATAAAAAAAACTTAGATTTTTTTTACAAGCCTATTTAGCTAAAGAGGTTAGGCCACAGGCCGTAAGAAAAACCTTTTAAGCCTATCAAACCGACCTATTTATAAAAAATTCGATAAATTTATTATTATTATACTGTATTTTGTACTTTGAATTAAAATATGAAAATAAAGCTGAGTTATTTTGAACAACTTATGAAAATAAGTTGAAAAAAACATTATAAACAATGTCATAAGTTGTTGTCATAAGTTTTTTTTCCATAAGTTCTCTCCAACAAATAGTATCACCAAACTTATGCTAATAGGTAAACTTGAATGAGACAATGAAAACAAACATTTAGTTTCAAAAATCTTTTAAATTGTTAGTCTATTTAACATTAGTTGAATTTGTTATTTACAAACATTCAAATGAAGTAGGCTTTTAAGTAGGCTAGTAGGCCAATCGAACTTTCGAAAAAGTCAGACTTAAGCCTAAAAATAAGTTTATGATAGACTACAGGTCAAACTTAGGCTTTAAAATTTTTAGCAGGACATACTCAAGCTTGACAAAATCTAACTCGGCCCAACCTATTTTTACCCCTAATGACCATTTAAGTTAGTGAGAAGACAATTCCCCATTATTGTTTCTTTCGCTATGACAATTAACAAATCACAAGGCCAATGGTTAGACAATTTTGGTTTATACCTATTAAATGATGTATTCACTCATGGTCAATTATATGTGGCAATATCTCGAGTTAAGATAGAACAATGTTTTAAAATTTTAATTCATTATAAAGACAAGAATGCCACCACTACTACCACTAACATTGTATTCAAGGAAGTTTTCATATTTAGTAAGTATAACATTCATACTCTTCTTTATAATTAAGTTTTCTATGACAATAATTGATAAAATTGTTATCTAATTGATTTTTTATTTATTATATTCTAATATCATCTTTAAGGGTCAATTTTTTTGGCGAATATGTTGAATGACATTTTGTGGTTGCACTTCTCTTTTGCTTTTTATTATTATTTTAGTTATTTGTTGTCAACATTACTATAACATTATTTTAAATGAATTATTTCATATGCAATTCTTATGTTGCAAAAATCCTATTGAATTGTTCTTTATTATTACATTCTCTTTCATTTGAGCATTATACTGATATATGTATCAAAATTATATATACATTTACAAATTTAATTTGCCCGTGCGGATGACGGATAAAAAATTACGAGTTACAACCGACTTTGATAAAAGTTTCAATGAACCGGTTCGGACCGGTCAATCACGTGCCACGTCATTTCTCTTTTGATTTGCCTTAAGAAGGAGGGAGAAAGAATAATGAGTAGTAAAAAATTATAGATTTTGGAGTTTAGAGAGAGAACAGCGATGGCTAGGGGAGTCGCGAATCAGAACGAGTCGACATTGACTCGAATTGTTGATTCGGTGTTCGCCTTTGTGAGACATGCTGAGTTTGAGATCCTCTTCTTTCTTTTCTTCTTCATCGCTTATATTCTCTTCAAAGATATCGTAAGTTCTTTCTTTTCTACGTTGCCGTCGTGTTTCTCTTTTCATGTTTTGTTAATATTTCTGAAATTAAGCTATAATTTTTCAATCTTCGCACTTGATTAGTGATTAATATATCGGAATCTGATGATTGATTGGATAGTTATACCAAAAACATTTACCTTGTTATTGTATGATTTGGAAGTACAGTGTAGTTTTTGTGAATTAATGACTTAATTGATTTCTTTTATAGATCTTATGGCTAACATGAGAATATAAATGTTACCAGTTGTTGCCTGGAAAATGTAATTTAACCAAGGAATGAAGTCAAAGATCAATTTAGGATTTGAATTTTAGAAACATCCTAAGAGGTTCTAGGTTTAGGTTTACCGTAAGATCAATTTAGGGTTTGATGGATTAATGGTAGTTTAAGTGTCTAGGAAAAGTGCTTTAGGGGGAAGGTAGGGGAGGAATATTGAAAAAAAGGAAGGAAGGATTGAGAGGAAGGGTTTAGTGGAAAGAATTGAAGGATATCAGTTGGGAGAGTTTTGGAGGGTTTGTTTTTATTCATAACATCAAAAACTCTTAATTTGGAGGAACTCAAAATTTGTAAATTTGTATTGAATGAGGGTTTTGGATAAGGGTGGTAAACGGGCATGTCCGCCATGTTTAGGTCCACTCCTCAAAAGCCAGCAAAAAAACAGGGTGGATGGGGCAGGCACTGCACATTTTAAGTATAAAAATACAAAATTTATGTTAATGTCCGTGTCCCAAAAGCCCGCCAAAAATGGAACGGGGCGTGGAGGACGCATTAGAGGTGCGGACCTAAACCCTTGGGCCGCTCCGCACTTTGTAAAACAGGCTTGTCCAATAGGCCAAACCAGTTTTGCTACCTCTAGGCTTATGATATCTGAATCCTGATAGGCGAATACTAGCATGTTTGTAGCTAATATTTTTGAAAAAAATGATCTCTCTCCATATTTGATCTAACCAGAGTAGTCAAAAGCGGCACTATCCTGCTATAGCAGAGCGGAGCAGAGGCCGACCGCTATGGGAAGAGTCTTAGCGGTGCAAAAGAATATAGCAACCGCCATAGGGTAAATTGCGGGATAGTGGAGCAAAGCGGTTTCTGGCCCGCTATCCTTTCCCTGTCTAGAAAACTGAAATTACCCCTTAAATTTACAATGTTTTAAGGTAAGTTTGGGTTTTTCAATTAAATTTGACTTGAGACTCAATCTTAACCTTTCTTCATAGTCGTTTATGCACCTGTGTGTTTTGATTTATGAATATTTTATAAGATGAGTTATTTGTTTAATTTTACATTAAATATATGTTTATAATCATTGTATGTAATTTGTCCAAAAAATGATTAAATAGAGTGATCATTCTGCTATATGCTATACCGCTATCCCACTTTTTGGGTTGGCCGCTCTGCACTGCTATCTGGGAATGACTAATCTGGATCTAATCCTCTTATTTTTACTAAAGAATGCCCGAGCGTTTAACTATATAAAACTGCCTTAACTACCTAAAACTTGTATAAGCCTTTGAGGCAGTTGACATTTAACATTTCGAGTGTGTTTTGTCCTTCAATTGTCTATCTCACACTTCTCGAACGCGTCTTTTTATTTTTATTTTTTTATATATCTATCTTCTCTCGCTTCAAAACTATCTCTTCCTGCTTTCTTCGACTATTTCTATGTTCTCGCTCGAGGATCCTTTTTCGTACGAATTTTAAGTATGACACATATACACATTTACGCTTGTCTCCTTGGTACATAGGTTCATATTCCTTCAGTTCAAAATGCTTAACTGAGGTTTATGTGTAAGCACTTACAATGGATACCACCTCCTGGTCATTAAGAATATTTTCATGTTAGGAGTGAGCTAAACAAATGCTAAAGTAGTTTACCAGAGTCAATAAAACATACTTAGAGATTCTATTTCCAAATGGGATATATGTATGGGTCATAGTTGGATTAGCAACTTAATTAAAACCATTATCATATAACTACTTTGCATAAGCTATTTTCATATAATCTATAGGTTCTTTTGTAAATTATCCTAGATAGCTAATGGAAATAAGTTGACAATAGTGAACATGTTGTAAGTCTAAACAAACTACAAGTTTTATACCAAAACATAAACTCAAATAATTCAATACAAACAAACTTATAATCATATAAATTAGGGTTAGCATCTTGGCTTTCGGTGTCTCATGTTTCAATTTATATATGGTTTGGTTTTGATAAGTGGAGATTTTTGGCAACGTGTCACATGTTCTCCATCATAACTTTCATCCCCTACTCCCTGCCCCATACATATATCTTATAATTTTGCTTTTGGAGTGAGTTTCAATAACCGTGTATACATCAACTGCAGACATCAAGATCTGAATACAATCAAGTATTTGTGAAGAAGCCTGAAGGTGGACCAGAACTTTGGCCCTTTTAAAGGAGTTGACGCTTGGGCTGACAGGTTGAATGTCTTCCTTGGAGGTATTCTTAGCACGCCCTGTGATGATTTTGCATATTTCGGTTTGTATTTGTATATTTATGTAATGTAGTTTTATAGGCAAAACAGTTAAAACAACCATTTATTTGTATGGTGTTATATTCAGTTAGGTATAGCACAACCAGAAAAAATGTTGACCATAACTTTTCTATTTTATCTCTTTCAATTTTGACAGGCTTGTTTCATACTATATCTCTTTTCTACACATTTTAGAAATAGAGGTGCCTGGACCTTATTCACGCTCAGATCTCAAATGTGGTAATCTGTTTTCAAACAAATTGTCGGCTGTTTTTATAAGTTCTCTCAAATGTTTATGCAAGTCTTTATGTCATAAGGAAATAAACTCTTTCAAATACACACGTGGCATATCTGTGTTTTGAGATGCTGATAATCTTAATTAGATAGCAAATGAACCAAAATATAGACACATGTAGTATTTGACAAGGTCCGTTTAGAATATAGAAGTATTGGTCTTTGACCTCAATTTTTAACTGTTAGATTGATACGAATTATCTCTCTTCTTTTCTCCATTTTCTCCTTGCATAGTGAGTCAATGCTGATGCTCGTCAGACTTATACCCAAATGTTTATGCAAGTCTTTATGTTTCATTATACCAAAGCTTCAAGTTAACCATCTCAATTCTACAATAATCAAAGCATGAGATACTGAAATTACATGTTCACAAGCCTTCATGAACCATATACCAATTAAGAAGTCAATCAAGATGACTCATCTAATGCGGTTTTCAATTTAACTGATTCAGAGAAGGTAACACATGAGAAATCAGACATAAACTTGAATCTATTTGTGAGATGGAGGATTACTATTATCATTAACAGTGTCTTAGAAAATACAAACAGATCTATATTTTATGCAACTCAACAATTATACTATTGAACAAAGAAACATTAAAAGCATAAACTAAAGAAACAATATCCTGGCAATAGTTGATAAATAACTCCTATTGTGCTGCCGTAGATCTTTTCTCTCCCCGGAACGAGCTTATCTTTCTTCTACTAAGAGTATCTTTAATGAGAGTAAATTAAATGGGTAAACTAAGATATTTTTTGTGGACGCAAAGTGTTTTGTAGGATTTAAAAAATTTATAATTGATTTGAATAGTTTTTACTTTAATGATGGTTGTCTATAAGAAACTAAAACTTGACTCCACTATTTTTAAATATCATGCCATTACTTTAATGCTGTTGGAATATTTTATTAATTAAATAAATAATATTATAACATATTTCACATAGTTAACTGTAACTATATAGATAATGGAAACTAAATTTTAGTTCACTTAGATGTCATGTCAGCTCTACTTTAAAGTTGCTCTAAAATGACTTTTAAAGCAAATTCTTTATTACTAACATAATCTATACAAAATTTTGGTTTAACAACCCTGCATTAAAGTTGCTCTAAAATGACTTTTGAAACCTCTTTAAAAGCTAAAACAAACAATCTAAATGATCTGTTAAAAACATTAGAGAAACTTAACAAAGGCATCTTTAAAACACCATTCAAATATAGTTTTTGTTCAACCAAACTAGTTTTCTCTTATAGCCATCTCAGATATTCTTTTCAATGGTACTTGAGTCACATCTTTGCGATATCCAATATCAGAAACCAATCTTTTATGACTGTATAATATACAACCAACCAATGCTGGGCTATAATAACAGGCAGTCAAACGAACTGATGCAAAAGCCGCAGACTTGGCTGCAGCCAAGTAAGATGCGGCTTGTCCACTTCCGCCGCCTACACTGATATTTCTGGTTACTCGGAGGCCCGTTTTGCAATAAATTGCAAAATCTTCACAGTTATTCTTGGAAACATGGTAGTCACCAAATCCACTTTCAAGAAGATAAATAGCTCGGTAAATGACTTCTTCTGATGGATCAGAAGAAGCAAGGGTGCATGTACCTCCTCGAGCTTGGGCTAGAAAATGCAGTTTATTGACACCATACAGAAAGCGGTATAGTTCACCTCCAGAAAGAAAGCAATCTAAGCAGGATAAGATGACACCATTAGTCATTGTTTCGCCCCAATCACTGCATATTGGGCATGGAATGTTATTGGCATCAAAAGAAGGAGCTGAACTTGTATAGAGACGGTTGAAAAAAGTTGGTATTCCAGTTTGTTGTTGTATTGCTTCAGTTGTGAAGTGGACTACGGTTCGCTCATTAACATATATTCCTGTTATATTACAAAAAAAGCAGTTAGCAGAGCACAAATATGACATTAACTTCAGTATCTTCTTAATAACTGAAAGTGTTTGATAAGTTTGAGACATGAATATATATAAATTCAACGATGAATGGGAAAAAGAAGGGATGATGACCGTGATGTGCAAATAGGTAAGCCTTCCTCCAAGAGTAGATGTGATCTCCGGGTTTCAACTGTATCCTATCAATCTTATTGGAAAGAACTCCCATTTTATTTTGTGTATGCTTTGCTAAGGTGAAGAGTGAAACGGAGGAAGAAATTAAATAAAACGAAAGCAATCTCTGTGTCAAGACCTTTCACTACTGCATAGTTTATTTAGGCAAACGATATTCCATTTATGAGCAAAGGTGATGCATTTATTAATAGCCTTTGGCTTTTCAAGGTGCATCGAATAGCACTTGCTGGTATTAACAACTTAGAAGGTAAAGGGGCAATGTATTTTCCATAAGGCTCAAGAAATGACTCCTTTTCTTTTTAAGTCTTGGTTAGTGAAAAATAACTGATATATTTGATAAACTAATTTGGGATAGCGGAAGCTTAGATCTCGAGAGTGTGCACCTTTTAAGGTCTTAGGTTTGAATCGTATTAGGTGTTAACAATATTTGTGTTTGGTCAGTCCATATAAAGTTTTGCTCTACCTTTAATCGAGACCCCACTAGTGGAAGGTGAGATTGGTCATCTTAAATTAGTTAGCCATAAGGCCAGATACAGTATTAAAAAAAAATGGAGATAACTATTCTCACCCTTAGTAATGGACAACAACCTTTATAAAACTCCAAAATGTCTTTCAGATGTTTGGATTTTAAAAATTTGGATGCACATATTACATACCCACCACCATCATCATTAATGAGCCACCTCAATTTGCCCAACAAAAGTCGGGAGTTCAATCCCTAAATACAATCCGAATATAAATATCCTGAAACACCAAGCGAAAAATTGCTAACAACACTACCTTACATGTATTATTTATTGAAGGCTGATATTTAAACTCCATGAGGTGCTTCACCACCGTGAAAATTCACAAATGCCCATAGCGTCTAGAGAGGCATGTCTGAACGCACATTTTTTTCACACCCATAAGTACAAATTGATGAGCCACCCTTATTTTGCAAAAAATTAATCTAAAAAAGTATCTAATATCAATATTAGGGTGAGTCCGGAGTTGCATCTCCGTATCAATATTAGGGTGAGTCTGGAGTTGCGTCTCCGTAAAAACCCTTAGTTCAAAGAGCATGGAGTTTTTTAGAGATACATCTTCGGACGCATTTATTTCATATACCCGCGTCAGACCCTTCCCTTTTCCTTCTTCATTTTCTACAAAGTCACTAAAAAACCCCATTCTCATACTCTACACTTAATCTATTGGCTTTCATTCAACTACTATCCATAATCACATAAAACTTCTGGAAAAAAATAAAAATAGTACACATCAATAATACACAAGAACAACAATAATGACAAATAACAAGAACAACAATAATTGACCAAAGCAACAACAAGAACGACAACAACAATAATAACATTCCGGAGAATAATGGTGTTCTTTCGTTCGCTAGGGCTCCTTAGAGAATAAGTGTTCTTTCGCTAGGGATCGAGAGGTGAATGAGGTAGACACCGAGTGAATAAAAAATATAAAGAATTTTCATCGCAATTATACTGAAAAACGAGATAACATATCCGACGTAAAACTTTAAAAAATAAAGGTGCCTTTATAGTTCCAAAAAGAATAAAAAAATTAGAGATTATTTATCTCGATTTTCGTAAAAACAGAGGTAGCATATCCAACGTAAAATCTATGAAAATAAAGGTTGTCTTTTGGTTCCATATAAAACACAAAACTGCAGGAGTTGAGAATCAAATCTCAAACACTTAGCATATTGTTATGTCGCCTTTACAAAGAATCGAGGTAACAAATTGATTTTTTTAAGAAAAAGACAAGACACTCCCTTTACATACATCATCAATTTTATATTGTACGTTGTGAAAGCTTCGTCATAAAAAGAATTATTTATTATAGTGAGCATCTATGTTTAAAATCCGTAAACCATGGAAGGAAGATTTTGAATTTGGAACAACCTGAAGATGATTGGTTCAGGAATACTATCTGCTACTCTGAGTTTGCCGGTTTATTTGCTACTACGTACAAGACCATAAACCATGGCATGCAGGTGGAATTTGAGGGGAGATGACCATCACACTGGATGACGTATCATGCATCATACATCTTCCCATTAGAGGATAATTATTGGACCATATAAGGCTCAAACGAAAGGAAGTCAACGAGATGATGGTTACCTATTTGGGAGCTGACCCAACTGAGGTCGCAAATGAGGTAGTTGACACCAGAGGTGCTCCTTTAAGATTTAAATTCTAGGAACTTTATAAATACCGCCTGCAAATGGTTGTGGGTGTCTAAGGTGATGGTATGCAGGTTGAGTATCACCGACAATATGCATTGAGGTGTTGCCTCTTGTTCTTGGTTGGAACTTTCATGTTTGTCGACAAAAGTGAAACTTACATCGATGCAGTTTACCTTAAAAACTTCATCGACTTAACAGCGATTCACAAGTACAATTGGGGGTCGCTTGTTTGGTCTACCTCTACTCAAAGTTGGGCGAAGGTTCTGTTTGAATGACAAAGAAGTTGGCAAGAAGTTGCACGTTGCTTTCGGTAATTTACTGTTACTAATATTTTCATAACTCTTTTATTACACTTGTTACTACTATTTTATCTGAACCATTTTCAAGGATGGATCATCTCCCACTTTTCTCGCATTTTCGGGTGGGAACATGTGCCCAACTACACTGAGGATTGACCATGTGTTGTCGCTTTTGCCTTGCTTAGAGGTAATTAAGAGATTGATTCCTTCCGGGTGTATTTAGACCATCATATAACATATGACATTTCCTTCTTCCCATGCGAGGATTACCACCAGACGCGTCAACATCATTTCATTATACTCTAGATGGTTGGCTTATGTGCCAGGTCTAATGTATGTTATCTGCCAGAGTGAGTGATGCGCCATTTTAGGGATTTATAGGTTATTCTAAGACACCCCTTAGAGTCTTCTCCTCCCACTGTCTATCACAGAGATCCTGATGTCATACTTGAGGATCTCGAGAGTCATTTGGTAATAGAGGACTATCATAGGGTGACAGCTCCTATACAACGGGCTTATGCAGACGACTTCATTGCATGATTCTACAGGGTGTCACATCCTATCATGACACCAAACGCTCCTAGAAGACCATCCAGACCATTTCATCAGGAGGTACCAGAGATTAGGGATTACCACACCTAAGACGTGTGCAACATTTGTCAGCTGTATATGGAAAGATCGGGCACAAAGGCATGAATTTGTGAGGAAGGTAGTCCCAAGTTTTCCCTCTTATAAGGTATTATTGTCGAGGCCCGAAATGCCTTACAATACGGGCGAATAAGTCAGGGGAGGGGGGGGGGGGGTTAGACATACACAATAGTTTATGTTTTTTCATCTTCAGAAAAATGTTATGTATGTTTGGTACTTTTTTAATTAGTTTAATTAATATATGACATTTTTAATGTATGTGTAGTATGTTTGAATCAATTAATGTATGTGTTTTCTAATTTATGTCCTAAAATGACCTAAAATATAAGTTGACCTGAAAAATGTCAAAGTTAGGACAATGTTGTTGCCTAGAAAATATTCAGAGGATTTTTAGAGATGCATATATGAAATATCCTCTTTTATATGCAATAACACGCATCCAATAGCTTAAAATTAATTCATGAGGGTTTAAAAAGATACATCTACATATCCACCCCATTTAATTTATAGGGATGCATCTCTAGACCATATTTTGGCCAAATGGGATGTGTGACTGAATTATGAGGGTTCATGTGATTTTAGATGCGTTTGGAGATGTATCTCCGGACACTAATGAAGACATTTTTTTATTTTCAAAGGTGTGAGACACACTTTATAGGATAAGATAAGCATTCCCTATTCATTTCATGATCATACCACTATACTTGCAAAATTAAACATTGTAACTAAACTCACTGAACTCAAAGAAGGCAAATTGTCGCCTACAAAAATCCAACACTTAAATAATCATTTGATAAGATGTGAAACCAATACTTTATTATCATGTTTGTGGCTACAAGGAAGATAAAAGAACAAAAATAAGAAGAAAAAATGTGAGGGAAACTATATGTAACACCCATTTTTAATTATTAAGTCTTTTTGGTGTTTATTGTATTTTGGGAGTGCCCTTATGTGGGAGTGTGCCTGAGAGCATTAGGTGGGTGTCCTTAAGTTATAGGAGCTATTTAATAAAAGGTGGAATTTAATAATAATATAATATAATATGATATTGGTGGTAATATAATGATTAATAATATTATTGGTCTTATTATCATTATTATTATTATTAATATTATTATTAGTTATTATTATTATTATTTGAATTAAATAAATAAAATAAGAAATAAGGATTGAGGGGAGTTAAAGAGTTTTCACGATACATTTGGGATTAAAGAAAATAGAGAAATTTTTGGGAGAAAGAAAGTTACGATAACCCAGTTCTTGAGAGAAGAGCAAAGAGGAAGATCGAGAAGGGAAGGGCTAAGGATTCTTGAAGGTTTTCATCCATTGGAACATCAATTAAGGTAAGGGGGAGAAACTGATTGGGATGGTATATACATGAACTGGGTAGAGGGGATTCCTTAACCCCGTAGGTATTCGGATGAATATGTGGATTGTTGCTATGATGCTAAATATTGTTGATTTTTGATGAACTGTGTATATATGATGATATGTGATGATTTGCTGTTGCCCTTGATGTGTGGGTGTTGATGTCGAGGTAGATTGGGCAAGTTCTGAGTAACTCTGAGAGTGCCGGTAAAGTATCTGATGTTGGTGTTAGAGTAAGAATTATAGGTCGATTGGCTAGTATGATATTTATGACTTGTGGTACTGATAGAATAGGAGATAGAAGTAATATATTAGGCTTGGAATTGACTGAGATAGAATTGTAGAACAGTGGAGATTTTGGGGTATCGCATCATTCGCTGGGTTTCGCCTGGCGAGTGTTGGCGAAGGTTAGCGAGGGTTCGCCTGGCGAGGGTTAGCGAGCAGTGGCGAGTAATTCCAAATAAACTCCCAGACCTAAATAGTATAAAGTTCGCCTGGCGAATGTGGCCAGCGAGGCTTCGCCAGCAGGTT